TGCATCGCACCAGTGGGTTTATTTTTGTGGGAGGAATGGGGGGGGGGGGGGCATTTATATCGGGAAAGACCCGCGGTTTTTAGCCTGGTTAAGCTCGTGCAGCTGCACGAGGTCTTGAGTTTATAATTTTATATTCAAAATGTTATCATTCACACACCGTTACACATCGGGCTGTCCCCTGTACGGAATGACGACAGGTTCGCCGACCTGCTCGACTTGATATGCCTCAGTAATCTGTTGCACGATCTTCACCGAGGCCTTTCAGATACGGTCCATTGATTACGTTATACACCATGTTGTAATTCTGTTTATGTCAGCGCTGTTACGTGGTAACTGCTTGGTTTTTATCAGCTCTCACAGTTGTGTACCAAAATTTTTTGTCAAACGAAATTAACGAATACGTATATAAATTAATGTATTTTTTTGGCCGATTGCGTTACCAGCCATCATAAGTTTCCTAGATCTATACAATTTTATAAAGAACGTCAAAAAAAAATGTTTATCATAATTGTTTTTCATTTTCGATATCTCGTATAGGTCCATACGAAGTAAAGAGAAATTCTTGTACTCGTGCAAATAAAAATCGAGATTTTTGCAAATCTCGACGTTTTACACCTCCCTGAGTCGGAAAAACATAGTTTTGCAATCTCGTCATATGTCTCTGTGTGTGTGGGTGTGTAAACTAGATAACTTGAGCACCGTTACAGTGAGGTTGATAAAATGTCATATATAAGTATTATATGAAATGCTTAGATGCGTGTCAACTTTTGAGCGATTTCCGAAAACCGGAAGTGGAACTTTTCTACTTTTCTACTTTCAATTTTTCAAAACCCTATAACTTGAGTACTGTTTCAGATACATGAATGAAATTTCACATGTAAGTATAAGATCTAATTCTTTACCTTCTTTCAAATTTTAAGTAATTTCCCTTGACCGGAAGTAGTAGTTATTGCTAATAGTATTCCGCACTATTATACACATTTTGTTTTGCGTTCACTTGGTGTGCAATTTTTTTCTACGAGATTCTATTCTATTTTAAAAAGTTTAAGTAATTTAAAATGGATTAAAAATTATGTCTATTCTATATCCCGAGTTGCCATCCCCTGTTGTTTTATATAAGAATATTCGTGAAATTTTAGGGGAGATCACTCCCGGTTTTTTTAAAAAAAAAAAGATATTGACAAACAAACTCTTAAATTGTTTGTTGTGAAAATATAAAGGAAAATACTCGGGTATTCTAGCAAATGAGGCTGGTTACTCGAGTTTAGTAGAGAAGAAGAAGAAGAAAAGGTAGTGAAATTTTAAAATATAAAGTTTAGACACATGAAAGAGTAAATCGTCAACAGCTTTTAAACCGGATATTTTTCTATAATATTCATTGAGAAGCAAAGCTTCTTTTTTATTTTACTATCTATTATAATAGTTTCACTATTGTGTCTGTCTATCTGTTTGACAAGAACGCTCTAGAGAAAACACAATTAAAAATAAACGTTACACGGGTAACTATAGTGACGTCACATTAAACTAATAGCAATTTATCAAAATGAAACTAATCATATAATGTTCTAAAGCGGAAAGATACACTCAATAAAATGATGTCATTGATTCTAGAGTAAAAATATAATTAAAAACTATAGCTGAAAGCAATATACAAAAATAATGACGTCATCCATACTTGGAAATAAAGACTTACATTACCGCCTAATTTATTTCTCTAATCTTAAAAGTGGTCTGAATGCAGTGTTTTTTTCAGACAACTCCCACCCCCCCCCCCCCCCACCCCCAGCCCACACCGCAACGAAAAATAATTTTTATATAGAAAATATATAATTTTACCAGTGTTCGTTCTCCATCCCTGTGAGAATTTAGTTCGCTGCCGCTAAAATTGCCTCCCCCTCTCCGAAGAGAGGCCTGAAAAAACTCTAAATGCGACCTATGTCAAGAGTGAGATTACAGGCAAGGTTAAGGGATATGATCTAAGACTATATTAAAATAGTATGAATGTGCAATAACTACGTGTAGATGAAGGTTACCAGATAAAGTATTGTTGTAATGTCTAGAATTTGCGTCTACACACAAAAATAATAGCGTCATTGATTGTTGAATAAAAAACAGAATTAAAAATGGAATGCCGAAAACGATCAACAATAATAATATAGTCATTGATTTTAGAGACAAAAAATAAACGCTTAATTTAAGTGGCTAGTTTAAGAAGTGTACTTGACTACCCGTAATCCATGGATAACTGTGGGTTTCGGGGTCATCCATAAATGATGTATCTTTTTTTTGACGATTTTTATCTTTCCCCTCCGTCTGCAACTGTCACAAAAAGCCAGACCCTGCATTTAAAAAACGTCACACCTCAGACAACACGTTTTCGTCTTTTAAAAACATCGATTTCGGCTGAACATGGTTCTCACCACACTGTATGCTGAGGTTATAGAAACAGAAACAGAAACATGTGAACTCTACTTCACCTGCCCCGTGTCCCACTAACTCACAAAAGCAACTGTATCATTCACGTCTGAAAAAAAGTCACACCTCATCTTACATGTTTTTGTCTTTTAAATGTCTGGATTAAGTTAAAATGTCGATTCTGGATTAAAATCCGTTTTAAAATACAAACTTTGTGTTCGATTTAAATTGAGGTTGATGTGCTCTACGAGGCGTCCACATGAAGGATGACTATGGTGATGGTAATGAGTCAGTGAAGGGATAGGTCTTGACAACTGAGAACCGCTTATTTTAAAAAGGTCAACTATGTGCAGATATGAATTGTCTTTTGACCTCCTTAAATTCCTTACCATAATAAAACAAACTTATTCCAGGACGTCCCAAGCTAATGTATGCAGTGCAACCCGTTTCCTTTCACCAATAAAATAACACAGCTCCGTCCCCCCCGTTATCACCGTGCCACCCAGATTATGTCCCCTTTATCCCAGATTTAGTGATGTGCATGACCGAAGACGCACAAGCCAGCAGCCACTTAAGACTGATTTACAGGCAGCACGGTAAAGAGAAGAAGGTACATTTATTAAACATGCGCTGCTTTTTTGAAAAAAAATGTCTATGAATAAAAAAAATATCCCTGATCTCAGTGATAGGTATCTTTTGGGATTCATGCTAGACGAACATTTCACATGCATGTATAATTTTATTACGGATGAAATCAGTCGATATCGCCAGTCAGAGGCGTAGCGAAGGGGGTGGGGGCAGGGGTGCGGACCGCAGCGGGTGACACCATTTAGAGGGTGACACCAAGGCAAACAATAGCAAAATATATACAGAAAAATGATAATTCCTCTTAATTAAGTGATTAATTAGAGTGTTAAATAGTCTTTTAAGAGCAAATTTGACAACTCTAGATGTCAAATTTGCTCTTAAAAGACTATTTTAGATAAGGTTGGAGGGGGATGGGGCGGGGGTGGTGAACCATGACGTAAACCAGCTAGTGATTGAGAAATGCTACATCAAGCTGTATTTATAACCGAGTATAGATACAAATCGAACAGTTTAAAGCAATCGGCTGGGGGGGGGGGTAAGGAGGGGGGGGGTAAGGTGGGGATGGGAAGGGGAGGGGGGAAGTTACATTAACTCAACGTTGCAAAATATGCCTGAGGCCCTTCTTCCGCCACTGCCTCCAAACCTAGAAACGTCATCCTGGTAATATGATTCAGTTTGTCACAATTGCCGTAACACATTCCTGTCCACTCGGCCCCTCCCACAAATCTACAGTGACTCTGGGTGCTATTACTTAATCTCTGCCGCATGCTCCCCACTTTAAAATATTATTACTTGCCATATGAGCTGCTTGTGATTATTATGAACAATTTAGTTGCATAATGGCGTATAAAGACCAACTTAGATGACTGATTTTGACTCTTGTTGTTCTTGTTGATTTCTGTTTTTTGTTACCATTACCGGTACCAGTCGTTCATGTTTTACTTATTTTAGCGACAAAAGCTTTTATTAAAGAAAACAAATTAGTTCTATTTTCTTTTTAAGTGCATCTAAAAGCTTGTTGCTATAAAGGTTTTTTTTTATATTTGTTTTATTTTATTATACTTTAATTTTGTTCCTGTTTTTTTTTTGTCATTGGGCTAACGTATCCCATCCATGTAAATTTAGACTTCCATTGAAGTATTTTTGGACCATGTGATGCCAGCTCCAACTAATGTGTCTTATAAATTTATTTAAAGTCATTTTTTTTTAGTTTATGTATTATACATATATTTTAAGTCAATTTTTATTCTTGTGAGCCTCGAGGGAAATAATTCACTGTGCTGAATTATTGGTTTGTTGTATCCCTTGGGCTAAAGTTCGCCAGGGATAGTTTTTGTCTGTTCATATTTAACCAACAGTTATAGTTTACTTCATACTGTGGGATTAGGTGGTGCATCTGTGTTTGGATGTTCATTGTCAATTTCATATATGCACTCTGTGACTTCTACTGTGATTGTCTTTATTGAGACTTCAGGGGAGAGAAACAAACTTTATTAAAACATCAATGGAAAGATATTGTTTAAACAAGTCCCTTTTATGTAAAAGGTAACTGTTTTTAAAATGCCATTGGAGACCATCAGTTCCAGGGGGTTTCTTTATTAAAACCTCAGGGGAGTGCAAAAAAATATTGCGCACCAAATGAACATGCAAAAGCGCGTATAATAGTGCTTTTTATAGTAGGTCCACTTACTGTATGTAGTAAATATTAATTATTTAGTACAACATATAAATAGGCAATTCATTTAAATTTGATGTGGTATTGCATTGCCGTTGGACCTAAACCCACGTGCTAAGTTTGAAACGAATCTGTCTGTTAGAAGTGCTCCAAATTTCATGTTCGATCTACGACGGCAGACATTAGGAATAAAAGCTTGTAAAAAGGGAAAACAACTCATTTCGGTGTAGGTATTTTGTAATAAATTTCATGGTATTTATTTTATTAAATATAATCAGATTTGTATAATAATATTATTTGAATGTAAAAGCGACATCCACGTCTCTAAAATTAGTGTTTTCGCCACATCCACCATCCATATCCCATCCTGCTCTGCTCCTGCACCATGTTTCTGGTGTTACAGCGGTCACCAGTACAAAAGCACGTGACTTCCTTCTTGTGAGTCAGGCAGCCATTGGCAGGGATACGTAGACCTGGGAACTTGCCGTCTGAACATCTACGGACCACATCTGAGAAAAAAACAAAATCTCACATGTATTGCTGATCCTTCTTGAAAGATGTAGGGTGGGGGAGGGTGTTGGAGAGATAAGTGTTGTTGTGTGATGGTGGATGGGTTGGGGAGGGTGTCTTTAAGCATAGAGTATGATGCCCACACTCTACCAACATAAAATGACCTTGATTATAGCTATAATGTAAAATCTGTTGAAAGCTTATTACAATGTTTTGATATTTATTGTGATTATGACTCTGCAGTATTTATTTTTTATTTTTTTATCGATGTTAACTCACCAGCTCCGAATGGTGTTTTGTTGACAGAAGACATGCAGGGTCCCTTACACCTGACAAAACGTGTGTTGGTCCCAGTCTTTATTTTCCCATTGGCAGGACACAGGTAGTTCTGTTTCTTGCTGCTGCAGCCGCTGGTACAGCTGTGGCAGTCGTAGTAGCGCTGGGATGGGGCTCGTGTCGTGGTTGGTGTGGAAATAGTTTTCATGAGAGTAGTTGAATTGGGAGTTGATGGTGTTGCGGCTGTAGTTGATGGTGTTGCAGCTGTAGTGGAAGACGTTGAGTTGGCAGTAGATATTGCATCTGTTGTGAAAGTAAGATGATGGTCATTTATTAGTACCTATTAGCATATATATATATATATATATATATATATATATATATATATATATATATATATATATATATATATATATATATATATATATATATATATATATATATTACACATACGCGTACACGTACACGTACACGTACACGTACACGTACACGTACACGTACACGTACACGTACACGTACACGTACACGTGCACGTACACGTACACTTACACGTACACGTACACGTACACGTACACGTACACGTACACGTACACGTACACGTACACGTACACGTACACGTACACGTACAGAGATCTTAAGTATTCTTTTAAAGTTTATCTGAAAATATTTTCCTAAACATTATATTTTTTAATTGGGTGTATTACCACAAGTGCAGTATATATATGCAGTAGAGTTAAAGTTAGAAGTGTCTACATCATCTCCGATTATTATGATTTGTTGGCATCTAGAATTGCTTATGTCATAAGCATAAACTGCGCACATTGGATTTGCAGCGCAATCTGTAAAACAATCCTGTAAAATACGCATTTTTTTAATAAATATTCGTAACAAAGAATTGCATTCATTAAATAAAAGAAATGTACATAAAATATCATTTGCAATTTCTTCTTCTGATTTTAGCTTCTTCATTTAGTACGCCAATAGATAAAAATTAAGTGAAGAAGTAGTTTTTATAGAAAAAATCGGCGTAAATAATTACATAACTTTTGACTACTTATTGTGAAAGCCTTATATAATTTACCGGGTTGGATGTTATATTTGGTGTTTTGATAGTTGCGCCTGCTTTCGCTTTGCACTGCAGAGCTGTAAAATAATATACATTTATAAGCGGCGTATACAGGTTTTCATGCTAAGTGGAGCGGCTAGACAAGAAAAAAAAAAAAAAAAAAAAAAAATATATATATATATATATATATATATATATATATATATATATATATATATATATATATATATATATATATATATATATATATATATATATATATAATATATAAAGCTCAGTTCTGTATGTAATGCATATGTTTGTCGTTGGTCTTGGATGGATTTAAGTGTTAGAAAATTATCGTGCGCATTTGTCTAAATTTATGAGCTAAAAAATTACTATTGAAAGTGTTGGGAAATAATTTTCATTTTTCAAATTATAGTAATAATTGTCGGCATGTTCATTAAACACAAGTTTTAAAAAAATATCATCTTTTACAAAAATTCTAATTATGTCTTTATTTAGTCCAATAGCACTTACTTCCCTTTGATAAATTAGGAAAACAAAATTACTTCCCTTTATAAAACCATTGCATTTTGTTGAAAATAATTTACTTTTTAATTACTTTGTTTTGGTGTTGGGAAAAAAAAATAATTACATAATTAGCGGGGATTGATCAAGTGCAAATGTTGTTGGTATTTTATGGATAAGCTTGGAGTATTAAAATTGTTCATTAAATTGAAACAGGCGCGTTCGTTTAAGTGAGTGCAAAAGACTATGAATAAGTTGGGGTACTATAGTCGTTCATTAAGCTAAAACAGGTGATTCCGCCCCGGGCGTTTATGTTCGCGTTAGTGTTTTCTTTGTGTTTAGGTGGGTTTGCGTTAGTGGTTGCGTTTTGATTTAGTTCGTTTTTGTTCTTTTTTTTTTGTTTTTGTTTGTGTTTTTTTTGTTTGGGTTTGTATTTGTGTTTTTGGTTGGTTTTGCGTTTGGATTTGGTTTGTTTTCGTTTGCTTTTTCGTTGTTTTTTTTTTTTTTTTGTTGGTATTGGTGTTTGTGGTTGGGTTTGTTGTTAGGTTTTTGTTTTCGTTTGCTTTTTTGTTTGTTTTGTCTTTGTGTTTGTATTGGTGTTTGTGGTTGTGGTTGGGTTTGTTGTTAGGTTTTTGTTTTCGTTTGTATTTGTAATTGTGTTAGCGTTATGTTTGCGTTTTGTTGTTTTGGTTGGTTGTGGTTTGGGTGGGCAATGCCGGGTTTATGATGATTACTAAACACACAGGTAATGGTCTTTAACAGAAAGGTTTTTCACAGAAGCCAGAGCAGGGCCTGGCCGGGACGGCTAGTATTTATATATATATATATATATATATATATATATATATATATATATATAAATATATATATATATATATATATATATATATATATATATATATAGCCTATATATATGTATATATATATATATATATATAGGCTATATATATATATATATATATATATATATATATATATATATATATATAGGCTATATATATATATATATATATATATATATATATATATATAAACTAAATACGAAAATATCAACATGGAGTACTCAATACGGGATTATTCGAAATTTAACAAAATTAAAATTCTTAGTTTTTAATTTTTAATTAAAACATATTAGAACAACACATCATTTGTGTGAGTGCTATTAGTCTGGTTTGAAATTCTCTATTTTAATGTCTAACATGGTGCTTCCTAATTTACAAGTCGGGCAAAAGAATATAAAGCATGAAAGCTTTTTATGTGTAATGGTTTCTCGTATTATGTTTATTTTTAAGTATTTTTGTATTTATATTATTAGTTTTTAATACATTTCCTTTTATACCATGTAATTCTTCATTATTTTTTTTTAAAATAATAATGAAGAGAAGTAATTGCTTTTTAATTTGTTTAGTGCAAAAAAAAAAGTTTCTTCATTGAGAGCACACATATTTCACTATTTAAAAAAGGGAAATAAGTCATGGAAGTTGTTTGAACGTGTGCCTATCTTTCACACTACAACTCATGTAGCTACATATGTTTTTCCTTAATGAAACAGCGTGTGTTAGCTACTGTAGAACATCACTACTGTAGTAGATCTGTTTGTTGTTGTGTTTTTTATAAAAAAAAAACAATACAATTTTTTTTAACTATAAAAAAGTTGATTCTGGTCGGCTTTGGGCCCCTAAATGGCCTGGGTCCCCCCGGGGTCTGGCGGCACTGCAGTTCCGCCCCTGGCCTCTGCCCCCCCCCCCCCCTCGGTTAACCCAAATTACCTTTGATTAAAAGATATTCATGAGCTGATTATAAACAACATAACGTACCCTACATGTTGTTAAAAACATACGATTTTAAAAAAAACTGTTTTCTAACTGCTCAAGTCATTTCCTTGTGTTTAAATATACATACCACAACGACAATGTACATAAGCTACAACGGTTGTGTTTTCACTTCCTATATCTGCTGGCTCATCGTTGGAGACTGTGTTAGTGCAGTTCCCATCGTATTGATATACGGTGCATTTTGGGTTGGACGCACAGGACTCGAAGCATTCCTTTTAATTAAAAAACTTAAGACGTTAATAAAATGCAAAATCAAGCAGTAAAGTATATACAAATTAGCGTAGATCCCTTGGTATATAGCAGAGGCGTAGCGACCCTTTTCGGCGACCGGGGACAAACATTCAAATTGCACCCCCCCCCCCACCCATCAAACTTTCGATTTGCACCCCACCTCAAACTTTCTATTTGCACACCCCCCCCCCGCCTTAAACAATTTATAATGCAAAAATGCAGCATAAATGATATTTTAGTTTGTTTTTCCAACCCATTTTGGCGCCCCCTAAGGTCGGCGCCCGGGGACATATGTACACCCGCCCTCCCTCGCTTCGCCTCTGGTATACTAAAGTAATTAGAATTCTAAAGTAAAATAGAAAAAAAAGATGAAAAAAATGAAATTTTGCTTTTTATTTTGGACCTTTTAATATAATTATTTACAACCTCCCGGTTTCAATTTAAACAATTACCTGTCGCTAGAACTCCAATATAATCCCACCCTCTCTTTACACATAGCCTCACCACCAATCTATTTCTACTCAAAAGTTATGTAGTTTGTCAAATACAAGTTTTTTATTATTATTTAAAGTTAATATTTAACTTAGATTTCCAATTTATGTAATGTTAATGTAAAATTAAACGACATAAGTAGTTAATTATATTTCCATATTCATTTGTTCATGTGATCATAAATTAATCAATAGGTTTTTTTCTCCATTAATCTCAATATATTAAAGTAAGTATACTAAGAAATAAATTAACTAAACGAGTATAAATAATAACTATATAAATTATTTCATCGTTTTTTTTCTTTCGTTTGATGAAACCTTGATTCTTGATTATTACAATATCAAATTATAATGTAGCACACACACACACACACACATACACACACACACACATATATATATATATATATATATATATATATATATATATATATATATATATATATATATATATATATATATATATATATATATAGTGTATTCAGATTATTTGATAGCCACAAAAATAAATGCAAGCAATAAACAATTTGTAATAATATTTAGTTTTTTTTTTAATTTTTATATTTACTTGAGGTGAGTTTACATCTGGGTACATTACATTCGTACCCCTCGATGTTGTGCAGTCCAGGGCTAGTTATAGATAAACAAGTTAATTAAAAAGTCTAGTGACAATTTTAGCGCAATTTCCTTATATCGAACCTCAGCTTATTAATAGGGTACAAAAATAACGTTTGATTTAATAAGTAAATTAAATCGAGATAAATCATATATTGAGCAAATAAATAATGCAACACAAGTAGTTTTAATAATTCAAAACAAAATAGAAAAAATATTTATTAACGAGATTTAAAAAAAAATCCTTTCGAACCTCCGCTCATTCGCTATGGTAAAATCCTTTCGAACCTCAGCTTATTAATAGGGTACAAAAATAACGTTTGAATTAATAAGTAAATTAAATCGAGATAAATCATATATTCAGCAAATAAATAATGCAACACAAGTAGTTTTAATAATTTAAAACAAAATAGAAACTAGCCTCCCGTATCAGTCGAAAAAAAAGGGGAGAGTAGCCTCCCGTATCAGTCGAAAAAAAA